CAAAGCCAGGTAATGAACCCACGTGGCTGAATTGTACAAGAGGTGAGCTAAAGGTCAAAATAAACCATGGCCATTTTAGGGAAATTGATACAGGAATAATTACTGTACTATTTTCTATTGTCAAAAAAATATATAGATGTGAAATAAAAATCAGATCCCTGCTCCACCTAATTGGGCAACTGTGATTGGCAACTTCCAATGAGTTCACAGCAAAGGTCATGTGACTACCCGAGGTCGAGTGCTCTTCGTTTGAAAGATGTCAATGTCAAGTCGGTGCGCAAGTGGGATCTCCGTGGATGAAGGAGAAAATCTTTGTATCCCTTCTTAGATAACCGATCTTTATACTGCTATTTTGTTAACACTGAATATAGAAGATATGTCTGAATGAATGAATATTGATGATTGAATGACTGAATAATGACTGATTCAATGACAAAGTCTATATGGGGTATGTGTAAAAGCTGAACGTAACACAGTGCAGTGTTAATCATAGTAATTATGTAGCAACAATTATTACTATTTACCACTGCTGCCAAGCAAATAATCATGGAAAAATGTGCTTCAATTTTTTCCACAATGTATCCCATGTTTCTTAAGACGTTTCTTCAGAGTAATGTGCAGTCTACAGAGCAATGTTTTTTTCATTAGTTACACTTTTCAACAACTCTCTTTTTAAATTTTGATTTAAAGCTTTCGTGACTGCAGTAATTCATATTCTTAGTTTTTTCGGTAAAGTCACGTTGAAGAGAAACAACAAAATAACAAAATATATATAAAACAATAAAAAAAAATTCTCACGACGTTTCGACCATAACTCAAACGGTCATCATCAGGTGTGTCGGTTTGCATAAATTTATTTTGAAAACGGCATATTTATTTATATATATAAAAATAACGTTTGCGTCACGCGCAACGATGGCAGTTTGCCAGGACTAGTCCATCTATTTTTTGAAAAGAGGAGGGGGGAGACGAAATTTGTTTTTATGTATGCTGTCTGAAAGGCACTGTAAGCGTGAACAATCAATCAAGAACTGAAATGATTTATCAAATCTTTCCAATGATTGCTAAGATAGAATCCATCTTCTCGGTTGAAATTGTCTCTGTGTTTGTATATGTGGATAGCCTCATGAACGAATCTCTCATGGAAGAAAAAATCAGACTTATACGCACAGAACTAGATCAGTTAGACAAGACACTCTACAAATCACACTTATCATTGACGGCAATAATGTCCACATCGGATTGGGAACATGTAGACAATATGACTGCCTCTTCAGCTGCTACTATGTCGACCAAATGTAAGGAAAACCTGATTTCCAAATTTAACCTCCTCTTAAACAAAAGACCGGACCCACACACCAAAAAGTTAGACGTTAATAAAGTCGTAATTAATCGCAGTAACAGTTCTATTTCCGATGGTCTGAAATCCGTTTTAGCTAAAGGTCTAAACTTTGCAGTCACACCTAAACACATACCAGTTAATGATATAATTGCCCAAGTAGACGTTGCTCTCAGGGGCCTGGGTCACATCGCTGCAGACGTAGCAAGATCTGAAATCGCTGCAACCCTCAAAAACGCTAAGATGCCAGCTAGCAACCTCAGCAAAGATGAGCGTTTTGAATTATATAAATTAAAAAAGAGGAATGATATTGTAGTTCTCTCAGCTGACAAAGGCAATGCTACTGTTATCATGGATAAAATAGAATACAACAACAAAATTAAAGAATTACTCGACGATGGTAGTTATACAAAAATAAAAAGAGATCCCACCAACAGCCTCGTCACACAAACCAACAAAATAATTTCTGATTCAACCGCATTAATTGATCAATCTAAACAGTTTTCGTTGAAACCTTCTGCTGCCAGGCCACCAAGATTATACGGCTTACCAAAAATACATAAAGTTGATACACCTCTTCGTCCCATAGTCTCTACTATCAGCTCCCCCACCTACAAACTAGCTCGTTTTTTGTCTGAAATCCTGCGTCCTTTCACTGGAAAGACCACCTCTGCGGTACAAAATTCTACTCACCTGGTATCAACAATCAAGGGTATTTCCCTGTCCCCAGACGACCTGCTTGTCAGTTTTGATGTAGTTTCCTTATTCACCAAGGTTCCTGTACCTGACACCATTGCAATCATTGAAGACTTGGTTCATCAAGGACTAAACACTGAGGTACCCCCCCTGGTGAGACACTGTTTAACCAATACATACTTCACTTGGAATGGAACTTTCTACAAACAAACTGAGGGCACCCCAATGGGCTCCCCCCTTTCTCTAGTTATAGCTAACATTTTCATGGAGAAATTTGAGACTGACGCCATCCAGACTGCCACTCTGCGCCCAACCTTATGGAAGAGGTACGTGGATGACACTTTTGTCATCTGGCCACATGGCCGGCCTGCTCTAGACAAATTCTTCGACCACATCAATTCCATACACCCAGCCATCAGATTTACCATGGAAGTCGAAATAGATGGCATGATACCTTTTTTGGATGTCCTAATTAAAAAGAGACCTGATGGTTCAATGAGCCACTCTGTCTACAGGAAAGCTACCCATACGGATGCTTATCTGAAACCGGATTCCCACCACCATCCATCACAGAAGAATTCTCTCATCAAGACTCTGTATCATAGAGCCCAATGCATATCCGACCAGGAACACATAAGCAGTGAACTCAAGCACGTACACCAAGCTCTTAGGGCTAATGGTTACTCCGACTATACAATCCGCAAAGCTATCACTCAAACCATGAAGAAGAACCCTCTTGAGGAGCCTTTCAAAACCATCACTTTACCCTACATTGCTGGGATCACAAAAAAGATCTCCAAAATCTTGAATAAACACAAGATCCAGGTCCGTTTCAACACATTACATAAAATCCGTGATCTGGTTCCGTCTGTAAAAGATGTGATTCCGGACATACAATACCCTGGTGTCTACAAACTAAGTTGCCTCTGTGGTAGTAGTTACATTGGAGAAACCAAACGCCATATCTCGGACCGCATTCGTGAACATAAAGCAGACCTTAAACACGGTAGGACCAACACCTCGGCCGTAGCAGATCATTGTTCTAATTCAGTAGGCTCACATGCCATTGACTTTTCCAAGACGGAGGTTCTTTGTAAGCCATCTGGCTTCCATGAGAGATTCGTTCATGAGGCTATCCACATATACAAACACAGAGACAATTTCAACCGAGAAGATGGATTCTATCTTAGCAATCATTGGAAAGATTTGATAAATCATTTCAGTTCTTGATTGATTGTTCACGCTTACAGTGCCTTTCAGACAGCATACATAAAACAAATTTCGTCTCCCCCCTCCTCTTTTCAAAAAATAGATGGACTAGTCCTGGCAAACTGCCATAGTTGCGCGTGACGCAAACGTTATTTTTATATATATAAATAAATATGCCGTTTTCAAAATAAATTTATGCAAACCGACACACCTGATGATGACCGTTTGAGTTATGGTCGAAACGTCGTGAGAATTTTTTTTTATTGTTTTATATATATTTTGTTATTTTGTTGTTTCTCTTCAACGTGACTTTACCGAAAAAACTAAGAATATGAACTCTCTTTTTATTGTCTCGGTGTTGTTTTTAACTTGAGGGCGATTTTTGAAGACAATGAATCCACCGCTGATTGCCGTGCCAAGATCACCTGCCTGGTTTTCATAAGTGCTCTGGGCTTGGGTGTCTTTGGCGACAAGAGACGGGAGGGATATCGAGTCCTCAGGTCGACCCTGTCCAGCCATGACATTTACTCTGACAAAGGTAGCAGCGAGGAGGAGAGGGAGTCCTCAAATTGTAAAAGGAGACTTTACAATCGTAATGTAGGTTTGGTATCAATTTTACCACTATCGGGACCAGCGGCACAGAACGTTCAAATGACAAAAAACTCAACACATTCTTCAAAAACATTGCCCCAAAAAGAGGAAAAAAACGTATATAATAGGTGACATTTTGTGCAATGGCCATTCGTCCACTGCTATGAAGAAGGGCCATTTCTCAAAACATTACCCACAATGCCTCTGACATCGCTTTTCCCTTTTTAGGGCAATGCTCATGACAAATGGCTTGGATTTTTTGTTGCTCGTGATTTGTGCGCCATTGCCAGCGCAGTAGTGCAACCGATTTTATTTGGTACGGAAACTTTGGTGACGTTTCAGTAGTTATCTCCTCATGTGCGCGAGATTTCTCTCGTAACTCTGATATCTCCGACATTTGAGTATAGATTTGATTTTTTTTAAAAGCTGGAGCAACATCCGAGCAGTATCACAACGAAAGTCTTGATTCTCAACGATGCTTTCCTGCACAAACAAATAAATAACAATATCGATTTCTCCACGGATTGAAATACTCAAAAGTTAAGATGCATACACTGAAGAAAAATTGAAATCAATCAAATCCTGCTGACAGGCCCTGAAATCAATATGTTCAATAAATTCAATTTTACACTGCACATTATGCAACGTAACGATAGCCTTTTGACGAGAGCCAAGAGCATACAACTGATCAAAGCTGTGGTACTGCACATCCGCCAATAGAAATCGTACAATATTGGCCTGGAAGTTCTGTTGGTTATATTTTGGTGTCAGTATATGTTTTATTTCTTGTACTTTTTAACTGCGCAGTGACATACAGTGACACACGCACACACACATACAGGACACGAGAGTCACGTGTTTACTTTCCTGTAATTTTGCCGCATTATACGATTTTTTCGGTTGTTTTTTGTTGTTGTTGTTGTTGTTTAATGCAAACAAGCCACGTATTCGCGAACCTAGCTCGAGGCGTTTCTTGGGGCCCTTTTCAAAGCCACAGGGGCCCCTAGACAGCCACAGGTTTTTGCTGATGGGCGAGAGGCACGAGACAGCAACTGCCTAATGGACAGCTTGACTGTTGCCATGCTCACCCGCATCCCCCCCCCCCCCCATCCTCCTCCACTCCCTAAGGCAATTCTATCGGTGGACCCCGAGGGGGTCGTCTCACCGCTGTCCATCTGCCAGACGTAGAGTGAACCGTCGGAGCAGCACACGAGCAGCAGGTCGTCGGCGGCCCTCCAGCGCACGGCCTGCACCGGGAAGGCGTGACGCGACGCCAGGAGGAGGGGCCGCCGCTCCGTCAGGCTCAGCAGGGCCACGGAGTGGTCGGACGCCACAGAGCACACGCAACGCAGCACCGTCTCCTGCGAGGTGCACGCGCGCAACAAAGGCAAAGGTCCCACCACCACCCCCCGTCCCTATACAGCCATACAGGCTGCTGGGGAAAGTTCCGTTTGGTTTGATGTCCTTCCACCGCACCTCCGATTAGCGCGGCTGGCTTCGTGCGGTGCGAAAGAGGTTCAACGTACATTACAAGACGGCCAACGGGGGGTGGGGTGGTGTGGTTAGTACGCCCGCCCGCCCGCCTTTGTCTCCCGAGCAGATGTTTACACCGCCGCACCAGGCACTCATTTTAGGCTGAGTCAACCTCAGAATATCCATCACGGATGTTGGCTGTAAGCGCAAATCAAACTGGGATCGCCGGGTTCGTAGCGCAGTGCGCACTACACTATTGCTGTGCAACGACAACCACCGCCATTCACCAACACGGCGGTTGTGCCAGGCTATGTGCACTTTAGGGCCCCATTAATTGTTGGCAGGAGGTCACGGGACAAACGCAGCAGGTATCATGGGTTGACTAACTGAGATGACTGGCAGATGCACCACCTGTGCTCCCCACTGTGCCAACTGTGCAAGAGGGTAATGCTGTGAGGTCGAGGGTGCGTTTGGAGAATGAAGGACAGGGAATGAAAACAGTCGGATGGTGAAGGGGCAAAGGAAAAGTATGGGGAAAGGGACAGATTTCTGGGGGTAAAAATCTGAAGGTGAGAAATGGGAAGGAGAGACAAGGAAACAAGGTCAGGGCGCGGTGTTACGGGAGGAAGAGCGAGAAAGACAGACATGCACCATAACGAGAGGACCTCACCAAGGGGCAGTGGCTGGGGCAGTGTCCCTAGGTGATGGCTGTAGCATGGGCAGTGCGGGCAAGCAATGGAAGGGTGTGAAACTAGGACCTGGGTGGGACCAAGAGAAATACTAAAAACATTCAATTACAAATAGATTTAGCAAAAAAGGAAGGGAGTGAGATAAATGTAAAATATGAGAACTTGGAAGGTGAAAGATTTGATTGCACGTTTAACTTACTTCTAAGAGTTTTCATTGGAACAACCGGGTAAGTGTAACCCAAGGAGGCGTGAGGCACACAAAAAGTAAGAAAAGAGGAAAAGTAAGTGGCAACAAACCGCAGCATATGCGTGAAAAACTCGTAGGAAAACACTCCAGGAAGCAGAAAGAAATGATCATCAAGGAAAATCAATCTTAAACAGGAACTCAAAAACCGGTAGTCAGCTAAATGTTGGCATGCTTGCACACTTAATAATGCTTCAAATAATGTTCACATTGAAGTCAGCGCTGCTTTTAACATAGCCTGCAATGCTGGACATGAAGCTGCGTATTGTAGTAGTACTAATGTGTTGTTGTTGTTATGCGAGAGTCAACCTCAGTTTGATGCTCAATAAAAAAAATCACGAAGAAAAGTCTGGGCGGACCCAGCAGAGAGGCTGACATGCAGCAACAGACTGCTTGGGCAGTGCTGTTAGCGAGTACCTATTAAGGCGAGCACGGCACACGAGAGGGATGGGTGGTCAGCACCACGCCCGGCCGCCTTTGTATCACTCATGCTGATGTTCACAAATTGCTCTCATTTTAGGCCAAGTCTACCTAGCGGAGAGGCCCAGACCCAGGACCAGGGCAGGCAATCGTCACCGATGTTGGCTGTGACTGGGATTCGAGCTCAGGGTCGCCGGCTCTGGGAGCGCAGCGCGCTAACCGCTGCACTTCACCGCTCCCCGTGCATACGCGCACGCACAGACGCAATGCACATCGTCCGCCCCTTCCCGCCCCGCACCTCTGATTAGCTCGTTCGGCTACGTACGGTGCAAAAGAAGTTAATCACACGTACATGCGTACAACGCAACACGTACACCATCCATGCGACGCGTGCGTACATACATGGCAGTTATCGGGCGGCAGCAGCAGCTGCGTGACGGAGCCCGCGTGCGGATGGAAGGCGCACAGCAGCTCCTGGCTGAGCACGTCCCACAGGCGCACCGAGAAGTCGGCTGCGCCCGAGAGCAGCCAGCGCGAGTCGTAGCGCCTCGCCGCCTCGTGCGGGTAGAGCAGGCAGCTCACGGCGCCGCCGTGGCCCTGCAGGGCGTAGTGGCCTGGCAAGTCGAGGCAGCCGGTCGGTGGGGAACAAAGCAAACCCAGCGTGCACTCTGCGAAAGGGGACCGATTGCACCTGTTACTGTGGGCGTCTGCATTGGCTTTCCATTTATCAGGGACTTCAAATAGAAATTCCGTTATTGACTTTTTGTGCATTAAATGGCCGTTCGCCAGCTTACTTCAAAGAGATGACTAAACCATATGCTCCAACACCTCACTTGGCTGCTAGATTAAAATTGCACATTTCTTTTCATGTTGTCCTGATGAGGAAATCATTATTTTGGTTGCTGCTCCAAAACTGCACAACGTGTTATCATTGTAAACAAAAGATCTGGGCATATTAAACATTTTTACATTTTGCCTCTCGCTAAAATCACCCTAAATGCACCTAATCTCAGCAGGTCTCGGAAGTTAAGCAAGGTTGGCCCAGACTAGTACTTGGATGTGTGACCATGAGGGCCTTGTCAGGTGTTGTAGGTGTGGGGCTATGCAGTGGCCAAGAGATGACAGTGCCGAGTAACACCCTCTCGTATGTGAGGTGTCTTCTCCTGGTTCCCCCGCTTCCTTCCACGTGAAGCCAGACTCATTCATGGTCTTGGCCAAACATCCCAAGGCAAATTCCTGAATCTCAGCCAGACTTTCCTTGGGTAAAATAATTGTCAGCTCATTACGGAATCTTTACAATGTCTGATTCCTGAGCTGTCGTCTGTCGTATTCATCTTTTGGGAGTTCGCTTGAAAGGCATTTAAACAGATGAGAGATAATCAGGAGTTATTGTCTTTTTTGCAAAAAATATTTTGGTAGAAGTTCGAGATGGCCATTGAACGAAACCCATAACAACTGTGTGTTTGAATCATACATCAGGTACAATACAATAAATGTAATGTATTATCTATAAAGACTGAATCTCAAGACTCTTTTCAGGAGGCTACTGGATTTGTATGTTTGACCAATACCAATTAAAGGAGTGTTTTTGCATGCGGGAGGAAAATGGACAACCTGGAGAAAACCCACAAAGAGAGAATAACTAGAATTCAAAGGTCAGTGCAGATGGGTTCACGAACCCACTTGCTGTACTGCCATTTCCTGGCCAAGTCAAAGCACCGTTGCGTATCGATTGAATGGCTGCATCCACTGCCGTTATAAGAAACGTGACATTTTTCCACAGATCCATACCTGGTCCAATATCTCGGGCACCCTTTAGAAAATGCGTGAGGGCCATGGCAGCAGCGGGATAAACGAGGATGCACCCGTCGGAGTAGCCGCACGCCAGCAGGCCGTGCGGCACCGCGTACACCAGGGCGGTGCGCTCCTCCGCGTGTTCCGCCCCCGGTGCAGACCGGGCCGTTTCCGCCGCCACGGCGTCTGAGGCGGTCCCCTCGAACGCTTGGCGCAGGCTGCCGGACGAAGTCACCGGCAGCTCTGCGGACGGAGGACCGGCGGACGAGGGGCCGCGGGAAGGCGTCGCGTGGGGGCCGAGAGACGCAAAAAAGGACGGCGAGGCGAGGCATCACACGGGCCGGCCCGCGCAACAAGAGGCCAGCAATATTGCACATCACACGCAGGGTCAGGAGACAAAAGAGCAATGAGGCGATGCATCGTAGACGAGGCCGCGGGATGAAAGCGTTGCAAGGCGAACAGTGACAAGAGAATACATTCTGTGAAGCGGCCGCTGGTGTAAGAATGTTAAGGAGGGCACAACCCGTTGTGTACATCAATAAACATCGTACCTGCAATACCCGCTTGTGATGCAGCTCGGGGCAAGATTCTTTAGAGAGTTAAACATATAACGGAATTTTCAGTTTGCACGTGATGTGGTCTAATAAAAAAAAAACTTCATATGCTTCATTTTAGATAGCATCATCATCACCAACACCATCAGCCACTATTTCAATGTTTGTTATACTGCACTAGCAGTGTGCATAAGCACAAATAATAAAAACTAATTTGTCAAAACATAAAATTTATTTTCTTTAGGGCAGTGTTATTGATGATTCTCTATCCGTTGAACGGATGGAGGCCTCTCCACGCTCCACCACCATCCCTCACACTGCAGTGCTACATGTACATCACATGGCAGCTAATAGACAGTAGCTAAATGCTAATTATAGAAAACTCAACTCCTGGGAGTTTCTTGAGAGCAAACACTAATACATGGCTCTTACACCACTTGAGCACGGCATGACGCGTAATATTAAGGTGGTTATTTGCAAAATACACATACATTTAGCATTCAAAGTTATTGTTTATTCTAACAACTTGTGTTTCTTTTTCCAGATAACAGATAATTTGGGAACCACCTCAGTTTGCTTTTAGTTCACCAAATGTCTGTCGGTCCTTCTCACATCTCAAGATGTCCAGAACAACATGGGCAGTGCTGCATCACCACACCATGAGGGGGGACGACGACTTCGCGTGGCCTTCATCCGGCGGTGGGGAGATCATGGCTTATGATGACAATTAGCAGTTTGTATAATGCACAGTTTAGAGGCGAAGGAAGACAGCGAGAGCTACGCTCGCCACGCAGCAGCTGAACCGACTGTGAGGTCGCACAAGGAAGCAACCTAGCAGTAGGTAGATAATGACTGCTGCTGATGATGATAATGATGAATGCTTAAACCCGCAGCCAAGCACCGTCCGCTGTGGACGTCCGTCTCGGGCGCAGCGTCCACTCACTTTGCACGGAGCCGTCGTGCTTGGGTACGAGCACGTCCGGGATGAGCCAGGTGTCCACGCGTCCCTCCGAGTCCCCGCGCAGCAGCAGCTTGTGGAAGGGCTCCGTGCGGCCCTCCGCGTAGCGCAGCACCTGCAGGGACGCGCGCGGCTTCGGCGCAGCGACCACGTTTTAGAAGGGGCCACGGGTTAAAATCAATGAGCAACGATAATAATTTTAATAGCAATGAAAGCAAAATGAAACCCACTAAAGCTCAAAGTCTTGCCGAAATCTTACATTTAAATCCAATGGCTAATGCCCGAGATTAAACTATATTCATAAAAACGGCCGATAACCGCACCGTACGACCATCTGCGATACAGCGCTGAACAATAGAGGATTAGGTTTATTCACCCGGTTCATCCTAGCCTCCGTTTTTGTGGAAATGTACATGCATCAACTGTATCATGGATAATAAGACGCAGGAAACCACTTTTTAACAGTATTAAGAAGCTTAGTCTAATTACTTTAGAAAGTTATATCTTTTAAAAAGTTATAGAAATAGTCCAATGATCTTGTTCCCTGGGGTCGTCTTTGAAGTCATCGTGTCTACTGTAATTGGATTTCGAGGAAATTAGAAAATCTGACTTTTTTTTACCACACAAAGTACATTTCAACCACATGTGTACACAAATATCATGGTACGCACACCTACAGTCAACACTCACAACAGCTTCTACATCATAAAACACGTTCACAATGCGTCTCCTGCAGATATCCAGCTCTCCACATTAATAATCAAATGTATTTGTATGCAACATGTTAGGGAGTGCATAATTTCAGCAGCATTGATTCGGTACAAACAAACTCTGAACCGGTTTCGACACACTGTCTCATGAGCAGTCAGGCTTTGATGAATCAATGCTGGTGAACTGCCAGATGTTTCAGTTTCAGTTTCTTTATTTTAGTATAGCCCTGTGAGCCATTCGGCTCTTGAATCGGGTGCAACCACGACAAACAAAAAAACAAAAACACGAACAAGAAAACATCTTAAAGTGACTATGTGACTGTGCAGACAGAAAATCCATGAAAAAAACAGCAAACTATTCCTGAATAAAGCACCGTACACCAAAGCTGTGTGCAAAAAATCCCAGTGGTATGCAAGTCAAACAACAACAACCACAAGAAAACTTACATTAAGGCCATCAGTCTAACTCCGTACTACAACAAAAAAACATGTCCAAACCAAAAAACTTTCGAAATCACCAAAAAATAAAGCCATAATTGCAACGTAACAGTGATCATAGGAACTGTGACTGAATTTTTACAATAAACTACATAAATAACATGTAACACCAAATCCTAGAGCCATAGCTGGCTGCATGAGTTACTCCACAACAGAAGCATCAGTCGGAGTATCAAATGTTTCAATGCACTTTTAAGATCAGCACGCTAAATCAGAATACAGATAATACTTTGCAGCGTCATCCGGAGCGAAAACATTTTATTTTATTTTACGCCAATGAATAGCAGTGGCAGCTAGGGGTGTACAACTCCTCTAGAGCAGTTTTGAGACAAGATCTCATTGGTAGCGATTCAAGTTGCAGTTTATTGGCAATAGCATTCCAGACCCTGGGGGCATCAATAGCAAAGGCCCTTCCTCCAGTTTTTGTACAGCAATAGGGAATGTGAAGCTGCTAAATGAGTGAAGACCTGAGGTCAAATTTGTTCTTTGAAATAGAGAGGAGATCCAGCAGGTAGTCTGCGGATTTTTTTGTAAGTACATCGTGAATAAATAACATCTGGTGCACAAGCCGTCGAACATTAAGAAATGTTAAGTTTGACCCAATGTAGAGATCACGTGGTGAGTCCTATATGGGCAGTTCAATGTAAATCTTAAGGCCGAGTGATAGATGGAATCAAGCTTCTTCAGTACAGTACTTGGGGCTGATTTATACACGATGTCACAGTAGTCAAGTAGAGGCATTATGGTAGCTTTTATCAATTCCAAACGGAACATTGGGGGGAAGCAGTGCTTGTGTCGATACAGAAAACCAATTTTTATTTTTGTCTTTTTACCAATATAATCAATGTGATCTTCAAAATTCAGTTTTGAATCCAGGATGACCCCAAGATACTTATAAATCTCGACTTGCTCTATTTGATAATTATTTAAGGAATGTAATTGGGGAAAAATAACTTCCTGCTTTAGTCCTGGTGAGAAGCATAGCACCTTGGTTTTGGAGGTATTCAGGACTTGTTTAAGAGCAACTAGCTGATGTTGTAGTTTGTTGAAATCACCCTGTAGCTTAGCAATCACGTCATCGGCCAGCAGTAATCAGTATCGTGTCATCTGCAAAAAGATTTACCCTGGAATGATCCAGGTCAGTGCCCAAGTCATTGAGATAAAGAGAGAACAAGAGGGGGCCGAGGATGGAACCCTGTGGAACCGCTTTTGTTAGCTTAACACTGGTTGACCTTCAACCATCTGTGAATACAGTTTGGGTGCGAGAAAAGAGGTAATTTTGTAACCATTTTACTGTGTTTTCGGAAAAACCGAGGCAACTTTGTTTACTAAGCAGGGTGTTGTGGTCTACTCTATCAAAAGCTTTGGACAGGTCTAGAAAAAGACAGGCACAGTACTGCTTATTATCAAGGCTACTGTAAATGTGATTCAGAGAGTCTAATGCAGCAGATGTGGTGCTGTATTTTTTTCGTAACCCAGATTGTTTTAGATGTAGTAAATTGTTGGTGGACAGGAAACTGCTAATTTGGTAGGTCAATAATTTTTCAAAAATTTTCATCAACGAGACAAAATTGAGATAGGTCGGTAGTTATTTGGATCATCTTTAGGGCCCCCTCTGTGAAGTGGACGGACATAGGAATGTTTCCATTCTAGAGGAACTGATGCTTCTTTGATGGACCGGTTGAAAATATGGGCTATAGGTTTGTATATTAGGTGACCAACAGTTTGTAGAGCAAATACGGGAATACTATCTGCTCCGGTAGAGGAAGACCCTTTGAGGTAGGACAGTTGTTTCAGAACATTACTTTCGTGGATTGGCTGGAAACTAAATTTCTTTAATGTTTGGACAGGGGTGTAGGAATTTGCATGAGCAGGGGTGACTCCCAATACATTATCAAAAAGATTACCAGCTTCAGAAAAATGAAGGTTAAAATTGTCAACTATTTTTTTAGGATCTGAAAAATATTCCCCATTTCAGTTAAGCTCAACAGGCAGATTGTCTGTTTTGGATGCCTTTTCGATACATTTGTTTTCCAGAAAATCCTGGCATTTCCATGTGATTCCAGGAGAGTGGAGGAAAAGTAGGCATTTTTGCATGCCTTATTCTATCCAGTCATTGACAAAATTACTTTTCTGAGCACATGCTCAAGCCTTGTCCCTAGTTTTCATGAGCTTTGTAATCAAAAGATCAAACCATGGTGGGCGGTTGCCTTTAGTTTTAAATCTAACCAACGGAGCATGTTTGTTAAGAATTTGGAGAAACGTGTACCTGAAGGTCTCCCAAGCCGTAGTCAGGTTGGGGATATTACAGACCTTGTCAATATCCGAGTGAAGCACATCATTAGTAAATGCCTGAGTGCTGAAGTGTCTCATAGAGTGCTTCTCAACCAATTTAGGGGGGGCTTTGGGTCTGGCTGATGATCTCACCCCAAAAATGAAGGAGTGATCACTAAGGTTATTACCCAGAACACCAGTCAGTGTGAAATTGTGAGGGGCATTTGTCAACAGGACGTCGAGCAGAGATGACTGTCCCGGATTTTTTAGGTTGGGTCTTGTGGGGACATTTATTAATTGAAACAGATTAAATTCATCTGCAAAATTTGTGGCCACGGCCGGCGGGTTTAGCCAATTCCAATTTAGATCACCCACTAAAACTATTTAACCTTTAGGGAGGCCCCCAACAAGCTCTCTCAGTGCAGATGCAGCTTCAACATCCTTCCCACTAGGCAGTCGATAGCAACACACTACCAATATCTGTTGATTATTTGGGAGAGTTATTCTGAGAGCCAGACCTTCAAAGCAACATTTTTTAAACAAGGAGTGAGCTAGTAAACATGCAATAGTATTATGAACATAGATAGCAATTCCACCTCCTTTAGATCCTCGGTTAAGCCGAAAGAGGTTGTAGTTGTCAATCGCAATCCGCAAGTCATTGATGGCAGGCGTGAGAAAGGTTTCTGTTAGGAAAAAAATGTCCGGGTCAAGATTTGCCACTTCTAGTTTTAGCGGACTTAATTTAATCACAAGCCCTCTGATGTTGACATGTAGAACACCAACACCTTTTTGGCCAGAAAAATCTACAGAATTATACGAGTTCTTTACATTTGGGCCAGGATGAAGCTCAATACCATCCAGAAATAAGAAAAGTAGAATTAATAGTTTGCACAAGTATTATCTGTGAAAGGATGAAGAACGGCGAACCTTGGACGAATAGCAGTAGCTCGCAGATGGTGTTATTTTTAAGAGCAGAATGAAGTTTGGAAGGAGTGCTGGTGAAGTAATGGGACAAAGATAGGGTTTAAAAGGATACAATGATGGAGTGTAGAAGTGTCTATGAGCTGTTTCATTAGCAGGTGTAGTGGCAAATCGAGCAACAAGTATGGACGCAAAGTAACGAGGGTAGCTGTTTGTAGAGTTGAGTGTGGCACTAGATATGGCCGGGAGGGGCAGCAGTAGGATATACAGCAGGAGATTTGCCATCTCTAAAATATCCGGGGTAAACACAGATTGACACACAAGCGGAAAAGAAAAATATATATATACTTGTAGGCCGAGCGCGAGAAAACGTCTTGCCGCACTCGTCACACATGCACGGCTTCTCGCCCCCATGTGCTAGGGTTGAACAGCACCCCCCACCCCAGACAGAGACAGCAGATTTTTGGCTGTTGTGGGCTCGGCGGAACCGCTTGCACCGCCTCCTTTCCCCGCCGCAGGATGGTGCTCGAGCTAGCCCTCCTTGAGCTCAGCCCACGACTGGAATGTCGTTTCTTGGCCTCTCGTGTCTCTGCTGCCCGACCAGACGGCCCCACTGAAGCCCACACAGGGGACTCTTCATTCACCACCCTCGGCGTGTTGACGATCTCCGTGAAGTTTTCCAGGATTACAACTTGGGGTCCGTGGCAATGTTGCCTTGGCAGGAACACAG